TTTGAGGGAGGTAAATAGGTTATATTTTCTACTTCTCTACATATATAGTATATTTTGATTATGTGATTGATATTGTATATGCTACCTTATTGAGAGTCTTTTTAAAATTTTCATTTTCCTTTTAAAAAGGCAAACTTTATTCTGATAGATAATTTACATGTAGATGAACTTGATTCCTTCAAAGTGTAATTTAAAGGCTCATTAGAAGGGTTGTCTAAGATAGACCTACATCTAATGTACTTTCTTTTTGGCTCTGAGTTCAATGCTGAGGGTTTTCAGTGAGATCTCTCCACTATAGCTTTTCAGAAATTCAGTGTCTGTAAGCACTGTGCAACCGGTAGACTCTCCTTTGCCTCAAAAATCTCTAGTAGTTGTTTTTCTCCAAGGCAGTATGGAGGCATGTTGTGCGTATGCACAATTAAGCATTGAGCCAAAGACCTAAGGGGTCCTCTCCATAGATTGCTAGAGTCCTTTTCTATATAGCTCCAACTTTTGTGGTACCTGTCCTATAAATTCCAATCACTACAATAGCTTCAAACTCGGATTCTCTCTGCCTACTTAGATCACCTAGATCACTGTGCTTTGCTTAAGCCCCATCTCCTTGCCCTGTGGTCCCAATGATTTGGAAATAGAAAGTCATAGAAAGGTTGCTCCTGTGCATTTAGTTTATTTCAGCATTTATGGCCCTGATCCTCCTATCATCCAATATCTGAAAACAATTATCTTATATATTTTGTACAGTTGTATAGTTGCTTAGAGCAGAAAGACTAGTCTGGTAAAATTTACTCTTTTCCAGGGCATACATTTGAAAAATTTACCTTTTCCAGGGCATAAGTTTGGAAATTCAGTTATGAAATAATCTGGGAATCCTTTACCGAAGTACTGTATGCATAATATAACAATTTAAACTGATTATACCGTTTCCTCCACCAAGAACCTTAAAAATAACACATTGAATTTACTACCAAGTTTATAAAAACTTATTTTGGAAATTAAAATATAACCTGCTTTCAAAATAGAGTGGTTCAAGAACCAATTATTTTTTACATTTTTACTTAATATTAGGACAGAAACATGGTTATTTTATAAAACTATTATAATCTAAACTGAAGAAAAAGTGGAATATGTTTAAGGAAGATAGGAAACAAACTTCTTATATTCTCAAGTTAATCAAAGACAAAATATGGAGAGAAATCCCATGTTTGAGAATGAAACTAATGTGACTTAGACTATCCTTTATTCCAAATAAGAATTCATTTATTTCTTAAAAGCTCAGTTTGTTCTATTCTGCTTATCATAAATACTGCTCACTTCAAAGTTTAGAAACTTTATGGATTAAAGAATATACTATTTGCCTAGTACCTTTGGAAGTTGGTATTGGAGCCTTTGTACAAAGGATTTCCTGATTTCCCTTGTAAGGGAGGGTAAACCACTTCATTTTAAGCATAAAAGAAAAGTAAATTATACTCACTCTACTACAAGCACCAGTAGTGGTCTCACAGACTGTGAGGATGGAGATGTTCTGAGGTCGATTTAACCATCTCACCACTGTCTTGGTATTGCTCACCCATTTAACCATAGTGATATAGTATTCTCTAGTTTGGAAATAAAAGTAAAATTTATGTTTAGAGACAGAGAATCCGTATAATACCAATAAAATATACTTTCTATTGTATATACATGAATAACTGAACCACTATAAGACTTCTACATCATATTAATTTTTATTTATGTGTATATACATATACACATCTGTTTTGGTAAATATTTAAGTATATTGACACAAATATGTGTATGTATACATTCACATGAACATATACATATATACAAATATAC